AAATATTTATTCTTGTTTGAGAATTTTAAATGAAAACCAGATCCCTAGATATAAACATCGAAGTTAAGAAATCATGCATCAAGAATATGATAAAACATCAGTGAATGTTTGGGACTTCAGTAATGTTGGAACTTAAAAGTAATTTTTGTGTATTAATATGAGCAGCTATGCTTGTTGTCTCTGAGCTGCTGCTACTTTTTCTGCTGTTTAGAAACTTGTGTTTAACCTTGTTTTAATTTTGCTTTAGAGCCTGTGAAAGAACAGCTTAAACCCCCTCGTTGGTTATTCCTACCCATTTACTGGCCTGAGCAATGGGAGCAGCAGATTGGCCTTCAGTCGGGGCCTGCTGGGGAGGCAAAGTGCCCACTTGGCCCACTTCCAATAGATCTGCAACCTCAGGTTGAGTGGCACCAAACTCAGGAGCTGGAATGGTTCATTCACCCTGAAATTCCCCCTTAGTCTGAGCTTCTTTTTACCTAAGAGAACGACTTTTGGTTGTTTCTACATAAACGGAGATAACCCCAACTGATACTGTCAGTTTGATATAACTAGGCCTATGAAATATGACAAAAAGCAAACATCTAGGAATGGCATAATTTGGAACACAAAAACTCGTTATAGTTTGCTCACATTGGTAGGAAAATCAACAAGTATTAGGCCATGACCAAGGAAAGACTGCAGATGCCAAACCAGGTTGCCTAGGCCAGAAAAACACAAGAAAGTCACTTGTCCCACCTTATTTGGACACAACATTAGGAAACATAGACTGCTCTGTCTGAGAGAAGTACATAGTATAAACCTTAGTGGAATCAACAGAAAAAAGAAAAGGTTTTAGTGTTATATGAATATGCAAATCCAAACCTATATTTACCTGGCTGCCGGTTGGTGTAAATGAGTACGAGATAATGACAGGTTCCTGATGGTTCATCTCCTCTCCCTATCTGTATTTCTGCAAGAACTGGTTCTTAACATGGGAGATACATTCCCTGCTGGAGCTTGGAACTGTAGCTATCTACCTACAGTAGTGTTGCTGGCCTTCTTCTTTAGGGATGCCAAACATTGAGGAGGCTAACTGGAGAAAGGTGTTAAGGACAAGAGCTTTAAGAATAGAGTAGCCTAAGTACTGTATAGGCTGAGCATCCCTAACCTGAAAACTCACAATATGAAATACTCCAAAGTCCTGAACTCATGTCCGTCCTTGATAAACTTACAATTCGAGAGTGCTTTGGATTTTGGGTTTTCAAATTAGGCATGCTCCACTGATAAAGTTCATGCAAATATTGCAAAACTTGAAGCACTTGTGGCCCAAACATCTTCAATAAGGGATGCTCAATTTGTATTTTATAAAGCAGATCCAACTATGTACTGAAATTTTCGTTTTTGTCATTCATGATACATTCACAAAAATTGACCATATATTTAAGCTACAAAACCAATAAATGTCAAAAGGCAGAAATAATGCAGATATAATCTTCTGATCCAAATCATACCAATTTAAAGAATAAAAGATCCAGTTATCTTACATTTTATTTTATTTTCCCAGTACCAAGAATCAAACTTAGGATCTTGTGCTTTTCAGGCAGGCACAGTGCTGCTGAGCTATATCCCCAGTTCATTGAGTTTCAAAACTCTCTTAAAACTCTAAAGTTAAAGAGAATATCAGAACTAAAATTTCAGTTGAATTAGGAAACATTGATAATTCTATATACTACCCATGCAATGGAGACCATGTTATCTTCAGAAGAAATTAATCAGTGCTGGAGATTTAGCACCTGCCTCTCAAGTGCAAAGTCCTGAGTTTGATTTGCGGTACCAAAACAAAACAAAACAAAAAGAATAGAAGAAATTAATCAGTTTTCAACAATTATTTTAATAACTACAAAAGAATAAAGAAATTAACCACTCAGGTCAAAAACCAGAAAAAAATCAACAACAAAAACATAACTAGCAATTGAGTCTCAAGGTCAAAAAGGAAAGGAGGAAAAATGAATTAAGAAGTATAAAAGAAAATAAATAAAAAAATAAAAGATGATCCCAATTAAGAACTTTAGCAATGTGATAAAATTATAGGTAAACTGCTCAGGTATTAACATTACGAAAGTTTAAATGTCCATTATAAAAAATACAAAAGACACACAGTCATAAGGAAACATTTTGGCTCAGCCATCTGTATATAAATTTTAAAAGCCAAATCAACCATTTTTCTAAGAGAGGACATTATAAGAAAATTGGTAAAGTAAAAATCTAAACATTACATGTTAAGTATCAAAAACCCAAGAAAAAGCAAAAGGCGTTGTTAAGAAGTATGCTCCCCAAGAGCATGTGTCCCAGAGGGCTTCATGGGCTAATTCTATGAAATCTTTATGAAATAAATAGGCTCTAAAGTTTTTTAAATTGTTCCAGAGCAAGGCAAAAGAGGAAAGTTTCTAAAATGTAATAAAAGTAGCATATCCTTGTCAAACACTGGCTGCAATAGCAAAAACAAAAACAAAACCTAATAAATTAAAAAATGAAAAAGAAAGTTACGGACAAAAACCACCTATGAATACTGATGCAAAAAATATTTACCACAGTTTCAGCATACTACGTTCTGCAGCACCTTGAAAGGCTTATGAGAGAAAGAGTTTTTCCCCCTAAGAGCTCCAGAGTGAGTCTGGATTACCCTCAAGGTTGGGACATGCTTGGCAGAGTCAGCTGACTCACTCGGGTCCTGTTTTCATCTTTTCAATCTGCTATCCCATAGAGTAGAGGTGTAGATGCTCAGCATCTTTATTTACCTGGCTGCCTTACTGGCAGGGTTCTCAATGGGAAGTATGTTTGCCAGTCAGGTGGAGGGCTTGTGTAAAAACTGATTTTAGCACTTCATTAAACAGGGCAAGAGGTAGCTCCTGAGGCATTCATTTTGCTGGGGTGGCTTATAGCAAGCACAGGGAGGCTCTGGAGGTGACAAGGCTTGTGTCAGTTTCCTAATCTAGTGCTGGGTATGTTTCTTATACAAGAAAACCACAGTATAAACTATTTAAAGAGCAAAATTAAAGATAGAGAGCAGAAATTAGGAAGTAGATATTTTGGAGATTGGGAGGGGACCTAAAGATGGAGAGACCAGGAGGAGGGAGGTGAAGCAGAATGGAAAGAATTAAGAAGCCAAACACGGTGCCATACACCTGTAATCCTAGTACTCAGGAGCCTGAAGGAGGATTGCCATGACTTCAAGCCCAGCTTTACTACATAATATGTTTAAGACAAGCCTGAATTATGTGGTGCAGCTCTTTACAAAAAATAAAAAATAAAAGAAAAAAAAAAGATGTTATGTGCACACACCTACTCCCAATGATGAATGTAATCATTATGTACTGCAAACATGTGCTAATAATTTGTAAAAGTATATTCCCAAAGCTAAGAATTGTGGTGGCAGGTTCTCCTTCTCAGAGCACGTGAAGCTGGTGTGCTCAGAAGCTACTGGATGAAAGCAGGACCTCCTAAGGCTGCCCACAGGGAGCTGGTCCCTCAGGATCCCAGTCTGCAGTGTGGCTCACAGTCACTCCTAGCCTGGCCGCTTCCAGCCCACGACTGATTCACAAACAGTTACTTCCCCACCTTAAATCCTTCCCTCTTTTCAGCACCTGAATCTGCCTGATAAAATTGTTTAAAAGGAAAGTACATGATTTTCTCCAAATATGCTGAAAAGATATCTGATAAATTTCAACATCCACATTTGATTTAAGATTCTTAATAAAATAAGAAAGATCAATATTCACGAAGAGCCAACATTATGCTCAATGAAAAAACACTAAAAGCACTTGCATTGAAATCAACAGCAAGACAATTACATCTACAGTCACCATCATTATTTAGCAGGGTTCTAGAGATGTAATAAATGTAATCACAACAGAAAGACATAGGAGGTATAAACACTGGAAGACAGGAACTTGCTGTTTACAGATAATTGTATACCTGGTAGATTCAAGAAGCTCAGCTACAAATCTATTGCAAACAACCTGAGAACTTGTGAGATGGATGAATATAAAATTGATGTGCAGTTGTCTCCAAGTTGGTTGCCATGGAAAATGCCTGCAATCCCAGCTATTTGGGAGGTCAAGGAAGAATTGTGAGTTCAAAACCAGCCTTGGCAACTTAGTGAGACCACAGCTGCAGGGAAAGAAATCTGCTATTCTCATCCATACAAACAACAAACAGGCAGAATAAGACCCAAGAGAAAATACTTAAAAGTGAACTGAAACTATTTCCATTCTAGAAAATACTTGGTATGCCTGTTCATTGTTATAGTTTTCGAACATGTAAAATAATTTTATAAAAATATGCATATAAATCTACTTTTTTTCTTGGCATTGTGATCAAATTCAAGGACTCTTGCATTCTGCACAAGCACTCTGTCACTGAGCTACATCTCAAGCCCAAAATAGAAATTTTAAATAGACAAGCTGCTCTATAGTTTATAAGAAAAGACAAAATTATCCAGAAATTTAAAGGAAAAAATAATAAGAATGGTGAAGAACATAGTCTATCAAATATTTATTATAATACATACACACATTCCATAAACAGAAGAATAACAGAATTGGGCTTATAACAGATGATTATTTAAATTACTCTTTCAGAAAATACTTTAGCAAGGTTAACTTTCAAGCCTATGCATGTCTGAAAATGGTTTTATTTGGTTCAGATCACAAGGACAGTTTGACTCCATAAAGAACGCTAACCAGGAAGAAAATTCCCCTTAGAATATTGAAGGTATTATTTGCCTGTTTTTTTCTGTTTGGTATCACCACTGAGAAGTCTAGTATGATCTGATTCTTGTTTACTTGCAGCTAAAGTGTTTCTTTGCCTTGGAAGCCATTTGTTCATTCATGCATGCATTCATTTCTGGGGATTGAATCCAGGTCCTCAAAAATGCTACACTAGCTCTCTACCACTGATTAGTAGAGAAAACCCTGGAAACTCTAAAAAACAAAATAAAATCAAGTCACTTACCTGCTTACCTCTGTGGGTTTAAGCAGGACTGCCAAATCTGCTTGAGCATTAGTATTCTCATCATTAAAAATCATAGCATTATACCTAAGTACTGTGAATAATATAATGCCAAAAACATGAGCAACATTAATCTTCAGTCAGTTCAGCTCCAAGTCTTTAATGGTTTCCTGCAAATGGAAATTGAAAATCCTCTTTTAAAAACTGTATTTTCAGTTTTATCCTCCAGATGTCACCTGCGAGACAGCTTTAAAAAGTACACTTTAACCGCAAATGAAAAATATTTTATGTTTTATGCATGAAAATCAAAATGTTCTTGTTATGTCAGTAATACTACAAAGAAGAACACAAGTTAGGACCCTGGCAGGTAAATAAAAAATATTGATTGTTATATTTAGAATCTCAAATATAGTCAACCGGCATTTAGTCTCTGAAGCAGGATCAGTTTCCAAAATTTTACTCTAAATGTAAGAATTCTTTTCAGTCAAAACTATAGGATAGTTTTCAATACTGTTAATTTTGTATGATACAAGCAGCTTTTAAAAAACCTCAATTTCTTATTCCAGAAGGTCAACTAAAATGGATTAACAACTCCAGTCTTCTGTAATCAATTATTCTCTACATTGTGTGAATGCCCGTAACATCTGACACAAGCCGGTCCCTGCTCACCTTCCCTGCTTGCTTTTTCTTTCCTGGTTCTCCAGCTCCTAGGGGTTCTTTCAACTCCGAGAATGTATCAGCACCCCTGTGCATATGTTAGCAGCTCTCCTAGGAATGAGCCTCTAGCTCTTCATTTTCCTTATTAGTCAAGGTCCTTCCAGAGACAGTTCAAAGGCCATTCGCGGAGAAGCCTTCTTTGGCTACTTCTACATTGTCTAGATTTGGATCCCTTCTAATCTGCTTTGTTTCTTTGTCACACTTGTGACCATTTGTTACCTATTTGTGTGATGATTCCATTAATGTCCTTTCCTTCTAGAGAGTAAGCTCTGTGGGCCAGCCCTGTATCTCTGTTCTCGAGCACCTGGGCCATACTATCACCCCATAAATGTTTGATGAAGGAGACACTGAATCCAGACTATAGTATTTATATTCCTTCCCTACTTGAATGCAAGCTCACTGTGGGATGATCTTTGTTTTATTCACTATTGAACTATTCCTAAAACACACTTGTCACAAGCATTGATAAATACTTGTTGGATGGGTTCATCAATAAATAAATGAAAATTTATCTTCTAATTCCAAAATTAGGATGTGTAGCAGGAAGCATGGATCTGCTCTCCTACTTGGTGAAGGGCTCGGATAGCAACACTGTACCAGCACAAATACAGTCTCAGCATGGTCCAGGGGCCAGACTGGAATGGTTCAATCAGTTATTTCAGTTATTCATTTATTCAAAAGCTTTTCATGGAATTTTTATTCAGTTCCAGTTAGAATGCTTAATGCTGGAGCTACAAAGCCAAATGACACATGGTCCTTGCCCTTAGGAAACTTACTATCTTGTTGGGGAAGACAGGCAAATAGGTCAGACCTGAAATCCAGTGTGGCCCATATAAATATGATAAACAGGGTATTAAGGAATATACAAGCTTGTACAGTTTGGCATAAATTAGAGTTGAGGTAAAGTCTTTGCAGGAGGGATTCCTTAAAGAGGTGACATCAAAGCTTACTTTTCTAGAAGAAGACACAGTTCACTACAGTAATTAGGGAGGGAAAAGAGCTTAATAGGAGAGAAAGTAACCTGAGGGAGAGTACAGAGAAACAAGACAGAATGGCTTGTTGAAGAAACTAGAGAAAATTCACAAAGCTCTGGCACTATTTGATGTGGAAGCTGGAGGCTTGAAATGAATCTGACAGAGATGACAGGTTATTTATTCATCTACCTCCAATCTCATAACCCAATCCCCCAATGAATAATTCCTTTTTGAACAGAAGGCAAAAATAAATTAGAAGTCGTAGAAAAAATGTTTCCAGTGCAAGTGACTGTTATGGCAAATGCAGGCTTACAAATCAGCAGGAGCTGCCCTTACCAGTTTCCAAGGGAAAGTAAGTGGTGCTAGCCACAGTGACCGGGCACACTCCAGCAAGCACACCTCACACCTGTGATAGTGTATCTTTGCAGCCTAGGTTCCCTTGGAAACAAGAGCCTAAGGGGAAATCACAAGTGCTACCACTTTGGGCAGAGACGCAATCCAAGGGAAGCAAGAGTGAGAAAAAAGCTAGTGAGGTGGGCCAGTGAAAGGGTGGCAAGTAGAACTGTAAAGTTCGATCTCATGGATGGGTTCAGCAAGGCCAAATGAACTACTGCATTTTGAGGCAGCCCATCTGCAGAAAGGAGGGAAATGATTATTCACCCTCCCGCTCTCATTCTCTGTATCCCATGTTTAAGAGTCTGCCTATGTGGCATGAATTCCCCCGGAAAGGTGTGCCTCAAATTCTCCAGGGAATTTAGGGGAAACGGAGAGCACAGCACTTCACTAAGGCAGATATTGCTCTGAGTGGTACCATTCATTCATTCATTACATGTGAACCCACTTCACATGTGGAGAATGTTCTAATTTCTCAGTTTGCTCTCCAGAGAGGAAGTCAAAATTCCCTTGACATTTTAGATTTGAGAATCTAGGGTCCAGGGTCTACCTATCGGTCCCATGTAAGTGAGTCTTCCACACAGAGGTATGTATGAGTGAGGTTCTGCATAGAACCCACCATTGCAGGGAGAAAGAGAAGCCCCACCCTCCAGAGACCAATGTCTGTGATTCTAAGCACCGCTGTCTAGTGTTCACTACTGGGGCCAAGAGCTGGCCTGCCTGTGTCCGGGACAGCAGCAATGGGGTGTCCCCTGAAGCCATTTTGTTGCATGACTTCTATGTGGCTCCCAGTCTCAGGGCATCCACACTTGTTTTTCTGGCCCTCACTGAGATTCTCAGAACTACTTAACACATTTAATAATATATATTTGTTTGCTTTTGCTTAAAATAGCTGGAATTTGTTGTCTAACATCAAGAAGTCTGATAGATTCATTTAGCCTGAAAGTAAATTTTGAGTTATCTTCCACTTACGATATACTTCTAATCCTGGATCTGTTTGTTTATATAGAACAGATGTCATTAATTTCTATACCATATCCTAGAATTAGTAGGAATCTTAGACAAAGAAGTATATTTTTAGACCATATGTGTGTTATATGTATATGTTAGAGCATATATATATGTTAGCTTATAGATATATTTGTTCAAATGCACACACACATACATATATTAGAGCTCATACCTGGGGCAGAACTCTGGCCTATATAGGGCCATCTTGCCAGTTAGTGAATTTTGAATTAACACATTCTGATCAGCCCCACCTAAACCTCTTGCAGAGCTTTGCTTCCTTGCCATCCTCGCCTGAAAGTGTCATATAAGAACCTTGGGAGAAGAGAGTTGTAACCCCACCCTTTGATGATTCTGTTACCAACTCCACTTAACACCCACATTCACCCACTTATTCAACTCCCCTTGAATAAATAGTTCAAAATGAAACATCAAACTGGTGTCCCTTAGGTCATCATAACCTTCCACTCAAGATGGAAACCATACCAAATCAAAGCAAAGTCTCACCAGATTCTTTTTTGTTATTGCTAGTTTTGATATCTTTATTTTTAAATTAATTTTAAATCTTTATTAGATTATTTTAATATGCTAAAAGGAAGAAAAATTATTATTACTGTTCTAGTAATTTGTGATTTGGGTATAATATAGCTGTGACATACCAGGGAGAGTGACATTTTCCAAATTTATATGGGTTTTAATTAAATTTCTGTTTTTTGTCACAAGTTCGCTAATCAACCTTATCAAAAGAAAATTTGTGACATAGCTTAATACTAAGAGATCAGGGAATCAAGTAAGGGCTGGAAATAGTGACCTGATTTCCCTAAAAGTTTCAGGAAAGTATTGGTTTATAGGTCACTTTTTTTTGTACCAGAAGTATCTGAATAAATTAGGTTATAGCCTGCAGGCTTTTACTTGTATCTTGCATAAATAAAATTTCCTAAGAGTGCCCTTTCAGCGCTATTCATGAAACAACTGACACAAAGGCATTTCAACCCATATAAGCTTGATTTTAAATAATCTATTCTCTTCACAATAGAACATAAGACAATCATATTTGGAAAGACATGCTTACTAGTTATATAAGAATGTGTTTGTCTAAAACTAACCATTTTGTGATTATGTTTCTGGGAATGTTCTACTCCTCCCTTTTTTCATCCCATACCTCTCTGTCAATGGCCCCTTGAAAAAGGTTAAGGTTACTTTTCTTGATTCTATAATAGGGATGCGATTATATCACCTTCAGAAGGCAGGGTTACTCTTCAAATTGAATAGATAGAAACTGCTCAATATGTTGGGTCAACACTGCAAAACAATTATTTTATTTTATTTTATTTTTGGTACCGGGGATTGAACTCAGGTCCTTGCATTTGCAAGGCAGGTCACCAAACCGCTGAGCTAAATCCCCAGCCCCCCAAAAAAAATTTTGAAAAGAATAAGGGGTAGTTCTTGTAATATCTGGCCTTTCTTTTTCTTTAATTTCAAATGATAATTACTAAGTCTACTTTCACTGGATTCTAATCCTTAATTTGAAACTCCATTCTCAATAGGTGGTGGGACTGAGTACTGTATTGTTCTCTTTCTCACACTTAAACTCAGAAATACATGAATTCACTCACCCCCGCATACATTCCTACAGGAAATTCAAACATTAAAGGGTCTACGTGGGGTTTTTTTTTGTTTTGTTTTGTTTTTTTGAGACAGGGTCTCACTGTGTAGTTGAGACTGACCTGGAATTCACTATGTAGCCCAGGCTGGTCTTGAACTCACAGTGATCCTCCTGCCTCAGCCTCCAGAGTGCTGGGATTACATGCATGCACCACCACGCCCGGCTAAAGAGTCTATGGTGATGAGTGAGTTTGCCTCATCCTTTCTGGTGCCCAGTTCCCTGATCCCTCATTCCTCCTCTGCACAAACAACTATTGTAACTATTGTTAAAGCCTCCAGAGCTGGGATTACATGCATGCACCACCACGCCCGGCTAAAGAGTCTATGGTGATGAGTGAGTTTGC